TATTTAGTTATGTCTAGAGGAACATAAGAAACTGTTCCGGATTTATTTATAGGGAATTACAGTTTTTTTTTGGCGCGTGAATGTCTGGATCGGGTGAGAAACAATAGAAGATAGGTAACGTAGACATAGACAGATAACTAGAAGCAGTGTATTTGATACAGCGAGGGTCTTACAAAGACCGTAAAAGCTTATAAATGAAAAAACGAAGAAAAATAAATAAGTCGTATTATAATATAACAATAAAATCAATTACAACAAAACTAATAACATTTCCCTTATTGGTGTAGCCGACATCCTCTGTTGTCTTTGTGATGGTGTCGCTCAATGTGCTACCAAATATACCGCTATGCGTTACCTACCTCTGAAAACCGGAAGTACGCGCCGATTTAATAATATAATGACAATGATAATATGGTACCTACATAATAACAATACCTAATAACATATAATACTATCGTCTATATTTGGTCACGTTGAACATTGACGTATTTATTTTTTTTTACCGGGTATCGGTTATGATAGCGAGGAGGTTATTAAATATGTAATTACTTTTGTTTTTTTCTTTGATCACGCGTAATCCGAAGGAGTACAGAAAATGAGAGAAAAAAAAACCCGCGAATAAAATTCCAAAATTACAATGCGAGCGATGCGTACCGAACATGAAATTTAAATCTGATGTCGATAGGTGTAGAATTTGACTACTGTGATTTGTTCAAAATTTCATATTTCTAAAATACACGTTACGCGAACACTTTTACATAAAGGTGTCTCGAGAAGGAACGCGATTTTTTTGATCCGTAATATTTCAAATCGATCGGAAAACCTAACCTAACCGCGAGAAAATCGCCGCATTGAGGGCATTAGAAGGGGCGATTTTTCGGCATTGTCTAACACGCGCGCAACATAACAGATTGTATCCACAAATAGTGGAGCGATACGAACACTGGATATTTGAATTTGTCGTCGGGTCCACTTGTGACGGACTTTCCCATATTTGTTTATGTTATCCTTGTAAATCGCAAACAATTTCATAACAAAAATGGAGTAATTAAAAAAAAAAAACGGAATGGTTTAAATTTTGGGGAAAAATCAAAAAAGCGGAAAAGTCGATCTCGAGTGATATTTGATGACAAATTCGAATTTGTTTCCAGAATTACGATCACTCCGACATGTCGGAACGAAAACGCGTCTAAATTCCCGTGTCGCGCGTGTGTTATGGACAAAGACGGAAAATCGCAGCCTCCTGCAATCCCCTCAACGGAATCAATTATTATTATTATTGCAAGTACAAAATAATATTATTTTCTCGTCCGTATATTATATATTGACGCGTGCGTTGTTCGGGTCGTTCCCGGATTGCGATTTTCCGATCTCATCGTCGGCGACCGCCACACGCGTAGCAAGTTTATTATACATATAGGTCTCTGCGGGTATACATTAATATACCGTGGGGGATCGGTAGTTTTTCTCTCGTTGTACTTACAGTTCGGTGTACACACATTACTCATACCACAAAAGCGACAAAGTTTTAAATAAATAATAAAAAAAAAAAAAAAAAAAAAAAAAAAATGCCGAAAAAAAAAGAAAGAATAAAAACGAACCCGCCCAGCGGGAAACGACGTGTGCACGCCCACGGCGTGTTTTCAACCGAGCAGCGCCCGCGAGAGAATCGTGCGGCTCGTTCTCCTCGCACATACTATTATTATACCTAAATACATGCGCATACGTAATTTTATATCGAGACTCGAGGTTTTTTAAATTATCTATACGATATTTATATATTGTTTTTTTATGCAACCTCGCGCTTTAATTAAATGCGTACGCATTATATGTTGTAACTATATCATATGGTAGCCGGTACACTGTATACTGTTCGCACGCCGTCGCCGCCAAGCATTAAGCGATAATCAGGGTTCGGGTCTCATAGCATTCGCTCATTATGTCGCCTTGACATTGAATCTAGCGGATTGTCACGGATATTTACGACGCCGTGTTACGCGAGTCCGAAAATATGCGATTTGAAAGCGGTTTTTGGTTTTCTTGTTTCCGTGGTTTTTTTTTTTTTTTTTTTTCAATACATCAGTATCTAAAGGGCTTATAACGAAGTGATTTAAGCGTTTTCTTTTTCTTTTTTTTTAAATGTATTTTAGGTGTTTCAAGTCCCGGACCCCGATAATAATTTTATTTGAATCGGATTTATTGCCCGTTCTTTTTATAATTTACCACGTTAAAAAAACGCAAATATAAGTTTCCTATCAACATTTCGAGTCATTACAAATATTTTAACTGAATTAAAAATAAAAAAACAAAAAAAAATCGACTACATTGAAACTTGTATTTCCTTAAATTTTCTTAAACTTTCCCGTTCTCTCTACGTATAGCCGGCGTACTTTTAGCACGGGCCAAATTTACGGGGAGGAATAAGAGGGGAATTGCCCTGTGGCGGTAAATTTTATTACGAGGCTTATGAATTTTAATCATTTTTAGCGAACGTAAAAAATGAATACAAAGTTACAAGTTGATAGAATTTTCTGTTCATCAATAGTGCTTTACGTTCATAAAGTTACAAATTATAAGTTACAATAATAATCGCTATGATAAATGTGCGGTTCATTAAAGTCCATCAAAACATATTATATAATTAACCGAACTTTGCTATCGGAATCGAATTTAACAAAAACGATTGATGTGTTTTCGCGTTCACATCACTATCATCGAGTTCACTTTCCCGGCTTGTCGTCCAACCAACAAGTGTTGTACAATCTGTAAGCGGTATTCTAGCACCGCAAATAGTGACAACGGTGAACAAAACACCCGCGATGTACTGTGTCGATTTTTCTTTTTACCCTCCCTTCGCCCTCCCCCCATCCACATTTACAAAACCCTTGCTAAGCCATTGAATCGCCGTATACATACATGTATATATAGTGACGATTCTTAATATTATTGTAATTTTCCGTCGATATTCGCAACGCATTTCGAACATCGCGGGCGGCAGGTTCGCTCAATGCGGGGCACCGTATCAATCGTTTTTGCCCTCGAAAAAAAAAAAGAAAAAAAAAGTACAAATAACGAATTCGATTTATTACAAACGTTGTCGATGAGACTTACCGCTCGCTACATACATATACGCGCAGTCTCGAGGACCTTATTGTCAATTTCGCGATCTCTCGCCACGTCCTTTTATACGTATAGGTATATATATATGCATTATTGTATAAGCCGCTTATAATGGCGCGCGATCGCCGAGCCCCGTTTATATTTTTTCCGTCGGGGGTGCGAGGAGAATGCGAAAAAATAATAACGATAATCCGATTTCGGGCCGGCTCGTCATCCGGGCCGCCCCGTATAGCTCCCCTACGTCTGTAAAGCCGTACAGCTCCCCGCCGCCGTCTGCACATTACGAATTTCGCGATAAATAATATGACACGTATGTTTGACACGCGGATAAGACGCGAGTATGTATACGCGACAATGTCGAATAACGACAACAATAGTAGTGATAAAGAAACGGCGGCGGAAAGCGGCGTATAGGTTTTCCAATAACGCGCGGGGCCGAAAAACTCTCGTGCGTAAAAGTCCGCCGATTTCGTCGCCAAACAGAGTTGCTCCCCCGCCCACCGATTTCCAAATTTTCTCCGATTTCGTAAAAAATAAAAAACGTTCACGTTTTAACGACCGCTCCGGAGAATATAATACTTGTTGCCCGTCGTCAACATATGTATTCTACTAAGATTTTTCTTTTTTAATTGAAACACAACATTCTACGTAGACATCGCATTGAATTCTGATTTTTGATAGTTACGAAAGTGTTTGTAAAAAAAAGTTAAAAACCACTTTTATCAAACGTATACTATAATGTTTGAAATGAAAATATCGGAAAACGGAGTTCGATAGGATCTCTGCATCCGAATTGCGTGCGCGGTATTTTTATGACAGTCAATTTTTAATCAATACTATTGAGAGATGGGCATGTACAAAAAAGACGTGTGAATCGTATGTATTTAAAAATTCAATCACTTGGTCTAAGTATAAACATTTTTACATTTTTTTTTTTTTAATTTGAAATCGTAAAATTAAACAACCAAAATATTTCTAGGAGAAAAGTTTTTCGCAGAATCTGAAATTTTGAAAAAAGAAAAAAAATCATGCACTCAACTCGACAAATTTCCGCGCTCAATTCGGAAACACCGAATTCTTATTATTATTATTATTATTTTTTTTTTTGTAATTTTCATTACGAGCAAATTTAATTTCGTAAATACACGCATCACTAATACACTGCACAGTACACCACGACACTTGGTTTTTAAATACATACACTCGTGTCGTATGGCCCGAAAAAAAGGAAAAGGAAATGAAGTTACAGTATGCGGACAAAACTAGAAAAATAAATGTAGTCCGTAGTCTCCGTAGGACACTCCTGTACAGAGCCGTCGGGGGCGCTTGAATACAAACACACGTACGTGACGGCGTGTAGGAAACGAACTAATTTTGATCGGAACCCCCGGGCGTATAATAATAATATTGGGGACCCGGTTTTGTAAGCATTTGCGTGTTATTGATATTTATTGATTTAGGCAGTGGTTAGGTATAAAGCGAATTCGAATCCGAGTGTGTATAACGATGAGCCGGTGAAGGAAATTCGATTTCGCGTCACGCGGAACGTTTTTTCAATACAATATTATCGTATGCGACTGGTAGGGAAAACAGAATAGAAGTTCTGGATGAATAGATGGATGTCGTCATGGTCGAAAACCCTGAGCGGTCGGTTTGGCACGAAATTGCGGGAATTATTTCGTACTGCATCGCATTCGACGCGTAGAACAAATATTTATAATGATTTCCAACATCCGAAACGGACAGGAACTCAAAGAAAGAAAAGATAAACCATGTACTTAAATAACTGAAAAATAATGATTAAAACTTACAAACGCCGAATCAAGTGTTTCACATTTTGATTATTTTCAAATTAAGTTTTCCCCGTTTACATCTATATTATGGGATATATGCTAACGGGATATGATGATGTTGAGATTTTGAGAGTACATCGCCGAGGAAACGGCGGGTTAACGCTGGATAAATCAAGAACGTTACATGTACGGGAGACTGGAGGGAATAATGTGAAGACGGAAGTCGGTCTTGCCGTGTCGGTGGTGGCTGTGAGATTCTCGGGAGAGTCTCGAGGCCAAGGAGAAGAAGAACTATCGACTCGTCGACCTCTCGGCTAATAACACGTAACAATTATTGTCAATACTCGATTTATTGTTTATCGACATGTATACATTGACTGGAGGGCTGGACATTATATATATATATATATTTATATTTCGTATACTATAGTTAAAACTTGTTGAAAAGTTTCAAGTAAAATGTCACTTTTATCAGTAGCATTTAACTTAACTAGTTGCATTTTTTCGTCAAAAAACTGTGACTTAAAGACGTTCCATTAGAAAATCAAAGTTGCATTTTGTTTTTGAATCTAGTCATAACTTATGACTAAGTTTTAAATGATAGTGATGTGATATTTTTCAAGCCGAAAATATATTACACACGCTAAACGCTCCGGGCTAAACGAAACGCGCAACGAGACGGATTCTGCGGATCATATTATTATAATTTATCGACGCGCTTTTACGACACCGGGACATTGTATTTAAATACAAAATTATCAAACCCCTCCCGCCCTCCTTTTAAAAAATCCTGGCCGCGCGCCCGATTACGGGCTCTAAATATTATTAAAAAATTATCAATTGTTATTATTGTTATTATTATTGCACGATATGAAAGGACCGATTATTATTAATATTATTCGCCGTAGTCGATGTCGAGCAAGGTCCCATTGTATAGTCGTATTCTATATAATATTGTGGACGTTGCGCGCGTATAATATAGTGTCATGTCGACAAAAAAAAATAATAATAATAATAATATGATTATGATCGTCTTTGTCGTCTGTATTATAACATATATCGATTATATTATTTGATTTTATATTGTTAGACCGACGATCACGTATTTTTTTTTTTTTTTTTTTTTACTTATATATATTTTTTCGGCACGTGGAATATTTTCGTAATTCCAGCGGCGGCTAGTCGTGCGAAATCGGTATATTATACCGGTGGCGGTCCGCAATCGATAGTATATAAATTATTATTATTATACGCAGTTAATATATTATTACAATACTCGTGAATTGTACGCGTGGTACGTCATTATGATATTTTTACGTTTACGCTTTCTACGGGGTTTTTTTTTTTTTTTACCAATATATTAAGGGACTCGTCAGCACGGCAAATTGTAATCGTCTCTTCGTCCGCTTCCGATAGCTTTTAAGAATCGGTCTCCGCGTCTACATTATCCGGGGCCGTAACCGGGGGGTCACACAGCGGGTACGAATTGCGTCAGGCGCCAAATTGTTGATGGCAGGAACGTCCTTATGGGCGATGGGAACGATCACACCCTCCAAGAGAAGTGGCATTTGCAACTAATATCTCTTAAAATACATTCCCCGTGTTCGTTTACCGAATAGATGATAATGGTGTACCTTAGAATTTGTTGGGAACTCGGGAGGTCAAAAATTGTAATTTTTGCGAACTATAAGAAACATTCGAGCAACTATCTATCTCCAACTATTTGGGGTTGGCCACCCTCGTACTAAACATCCGCTTGACCCGACTACCCACAACGTCCGCGCATACATCGGCCATCCTCGTATCGTATCGGTCTTTAACTTCTTCTCTTTATACTTTTCTACAATCTGTAGTCTCTCAAAAAACACCGATTCCATCGTCGATTTCCCTGCAGATATGGTCGGTATGGAACCGAATTATATTTTAATATGTTTATTATCATTTTTATCTCTACTCCGATGTGATTAACTTAGTATTCGGGTTATCCTTATATTTTTAACTTTTTTTTTTTTACTATTATACCTACATTAACTAAAATGTATATTTATATATTGCGTGCAATAAAAATGTTAATGATTATAATTAACTAATGGACGTACAATATAATTTAGAAATGTGTATAAAAAAACAAATAAAACAGTCCTTATATATATGTCTAGTACATATAATTGTTCTTTTTTTTTCTTTTTTTTTAATTTCCATGTGATCCTTAGCGTATCAAACGATATTGCTGACCTTGAAATCGAAAAAAGTATTGTTTTACGTGATAATAAAATAACATTTCGGACTTTCTGAAACAAACTCTCACAGTAATAACAACATACTATGATAGGTGGCTTCTTAAATGTACTATACCGCGTGTGTACACCTCCACAGAAACTGGGTATACATTCTTTAATTCGACTCAAATAGAATTCTGTTTGTGCGGAACATGCCATTCGACTATAATGTGGATTATCGTCGCCTCTGATCTACAATATTGATTTTAACTCTTTTTAATAAACGTTTATCAATAAACCGATATTATATTGTTATCGAATAAAAAAAGGACGGACATACTTCGCACGAGGGGTACAGCCACTGTTGTAAGTGGGTAGTTGGAAAGGTAGGTTACAGACGGGAATTTAATTTATATCTATAAGCTACGATAAACCATTGCTAACGGAAAAACGATTCTGCGCGGGGTTCAGTCAATAGTGTTACTTTGTCAATAATGCAATATAATATAGTATATGGCATATTATTGTGAAATGATGTATGTGTCGGCCCACAATGTACCTAATTTTCTTCGAATTTGATTTTTCGAAAGTAAAGTTCTTGGTCGATTGCCACGCACTGCGAAGAAAAAGAAACGTCATCATCAACTACGGATAAAAAAAAAAACAAACAAATTATCGGTTTTTCAGCAAATCAAAACATGCGTATGTATAATAGTTAACTGAACTTGGTTAGCAACGAATTCCAGGGTATAGATATAAATTAAATAGCTATGTATGTATCCTACACTTTTACAGCAATCCCCGTAAAAAAATAACAAACCCATGAGCAAACAGCCCAAAAAAAGCTGATTATTTTTATTTTTACAAATGTTGTCATAGCGATAATGATAGCGCGCGCCGCGTTAGAAGTATAACGGTTCTCGACCACTGTTTAGTGTTTTGGAGACCGCACGGTCGCTTATAAAAGTGCTGCCCTCTATGAGGAGATAATTACGTTTAGCGAGGGAACGTCACGAAGCGTTATCCGTGGGGGAGGAAGGGGTGGCCGTTAAACAAAACGAAAAATAAAATCCCGCGGAAAGTACAAGCCAAAAAAAAAAGATCGCCGGCAGACTACGACCTTCGGCCCGCGAGGTCAGCTTTTATCGTCGCGTATACACCGTGACCGCTGCTGTTTCGCTCGCGTCGTTGAGCTCGGATTATGACGCATTTAGAGGTCCCAGGGCTAAACTATTCAACGGGGCCCTCCTAGAGAATATCAAAAAAAAAAAAGAAACCATTGAAACCATAATACTCATTAAGAAAAGTTTTCTAACTATTGAAACGATTTTCAAAAAAAATAAAAACCCAAAATACATTATAAGTTTTTCTTTACTGGGTTTGAATTTCACGATTCTCTTCAAAAACACATGCGTGGAACGAAAAATTACCACCTATATTAATGTTTTCGGTCGTCCTGCTATTACGCTATCTGTGTTTTCGTGATAATCGCACCGCAGATATCGCCCAGGGTAAATTAGTAATTGTGCACGAACACAAGTAATAACCGCGCGCACCCGATAACGTCACGAATTTATACTGTATTTACGAATAAAACCCAATGTAGCCGCAGTAGCGGGGGCGCTGCGGGTCACGAGTGGCGATTCCACGTTGTGTTTTAATCAAACACGTTAACAGAGATCCATTAACATCGTTAACAACGCGATAAAACATCAACGGACGCAAAGGTCGACGGTTAAACGCGTACAGATGACGAATATAATATACCGGGGCTGAAACCGGGGGCCCCGGCGGCCCGAGGGGAGGGGCACGGTCTCCCCCGCACACGCCATTTCGATCCGGGCCCGCGAATTTCTATGTTCGCGCGCGCGTTTTTCGGAAAATCGTCCCGGAAAATTTCCCAGCGACGATCGCGTACGGTTTTTTCACTCGGTCGGACGCCGTCGACCAGTCAACCACTGCGTGTTGTACTGCCCGCCGCCGCCACCGCCGCCGCCGCCGCCGCCGCTATTACGAGGGCCGCCGTCGCCGCGACGACGGCAACGCACTTTGTCGGACGTCGCCGTTTTACCGGCCGCACTGGATTGTTCCGTACGGCGCGCGTCCCGACGAACGTCGCCGTCCCGGAATCACCGCGCGTAATACACGATGTGCCGCGTAAGTTTGTTGTACAAATACTACAACGGTTTTTTCCGCGGTGCCGCAGAACGCGCAGTACCGTGCGCTGACGACGCCAAAATGGTAAGCTCACAATATGTACCGGCGTTATTTTAACGTTTTTACATTTTTTTTCGTTCGTTTTACATAACGCACTGGTTTTACAACGATTTTCGATTTCGAACATTTTATGAAGGTCATTTTTTTGGTTTTTCCAGATAAATGGGGAAAAAACCGAAGAAAAACACGGAAAAAACGTAAGAAAATAGTTGCGATATTAAACAAATATTATTAAAGGAAATATATAAATGCATTTGTAAATATTTTACCTTAATATGACATATACATATGGATATCGTTGACAAATCAACACCACTAATAACCGAACTCCGTTCAGAAACGTTTTTCGTTAGCAATGGTTAATCGTTGCATACAGATATACGTTCAATTTCCCCTCTACCTTCTCAACTTCTCGCCTACAACAGTGAACCACCCATCGTGCGAAGTGTAGCCTTATTTATTTTATTTTCTTTCTTATATTCCCCGAGTGGCCTACATATCCGAGATCCAAAGTGTAGATAAAAATACAAATAAATAAATAAAACGATAAAAACTGAAATTGTATGGCTAAACATTCATTATACGGAGGGGGGGACAGGAAATCACGATGCGCGTAACACTAAGAAAAAGAAACGATATTTACGTGATGGATCCGAGGAGAAATCTGTTTTTCCTCATTCACCGTATAATCTAGTATGATTCTTCTCGTATTGCGTACAAAGGCAAATGCAGAAAATAAAAGAAAATTGACTAAAAATAGAAATAGCGTCCCTCACAATTATTGAAATCAATTTAACCTGCACTTTTCTACCGGAAATATATCGTTCTAATCATCAAATTTATTTGCGGTTTCCGACAGTGAATTTTGTTAATTTGGCGCGT